GGAATACTATAGACGCAGAGTTGAAATTGCACTTAATTTTTATTTAAGATATCTTGGAACGTTTATGGTCTGTTTTTGTTCAGTTAAATCATGAAATGATAAAATAATTTAAGAACAAATAATACATTACTCTGGGACGAGATCGCAGATCCGAGCAGAGGAAATGAGCTTCCTCCGAGAGGTTTTGGGGCTCTCTGTTTCCCTCAGCAATGATCCTATCTCTGATTTCAGTGCTGAGTGGCTCAGAATTGAACTGCCGTGCCTCCGCATCGAAAAGAGCCACTTGTGGTATTTGACTTGCATGCCTCCTGGACAGCTCCTATTTGAGGTGTTTCTGGCATGTCCAGCAGGGACAGAGGCTTGGGCTATGTGTCTCGGCTGAGTAGAGCTGGAGGAGGTGGTCAGGGACAAGGCGGTGGACAGATGACACTAAAGAGGGGTAATGGTTTCACAATTTTTAGCTATGGCCCATTTAAATGTGGTTTGTCCAGAATATATGGCCACAAACTAAAAGGCGACACCCTGGTCTGCTTTCTTCCTTATTGACGTTTTAAAAAAACTAGTTCAGCATTTTGGGAAATGTCTCCTTCCCTCTTGATACCTTTACAATGGAGCCATGCTACTTGTTTTCAGTCTAAGATAAGCTGACAATCACCTGGCTACAACTTAATACAACAAACAGTTGCGTCTGTCATGAACGGCTTTTAAAGCGGCGACTGTGTCGCACCTGCAGATCCACAAGGGAGCACAGGGTGTCCTCTGGTGAATTGAGAACAGCTTCTCTTTTTTTCTTTTTCAATTTCACTGCTATTCAGATTTAATATTCTTTTTAGCAAGCTGGCCAGCACAAAGGCAGACAGAATTTAAGGCAATATTTGGTGATCACACTTTTTCCTGCTGTTGCCACCCACTCAATGTGATTTCTGAATCAAATCTAAGAACCAGCGATTATTACTTTTCAAATCGATGTTGAATGTCGGACCAACGCTCGTTGCTATTTGCAGCTGAATTGGGGGTTTTACTCTCCAGAGAAATGTTTGTGAGAGCTCAAAAATTTAAAAAAAAAAGTGTCCGAAATAAGCTTTCCACACATCCCCTGCCCCCGCTCTGCTACTGTGGGGATCTGCTCTTTTTCTCCCAAACTTTCATTCCCCATCTCTTCCCGGATGTCACTTTCTTCTGCCTCTTGCTCTCTCCTCAGCCCATCTCACCCTGCGTCCTCTCTTTCTTCAAGTGGCGTCTCCCAGCTTTCTCTGCGGGTATCTTCCTCCTCGTACAGCTCTACTGCTGTACGAGCCTTCAAACTGGCAAACAGTCATGCGGCTCTCCTATCACAATATAATGAGATTGCAAGCGCCCAAATTGAAAGAAGCCATTTTCTACAGCTGTCAACTTATTATCGAGGAGGGACCGACTTATTCTGGCGCCTCTAAAGGCAGCAGAGGAGAGAGAGGGATGGAGGTGATGGAGAGATCGAAGGGAGCAGGTTTTGAAAAATGGAGGGGGAGGAATGTGGGGAGCTGTTTTACATTTAACATTTTTCTTTTTCCGCTCTCTCCCAGTCTCTCTGGTATTTCAGTTTGGTCACTAGCACAGCCTTGAAGTCCGGGTCTTTTATTCACCATGTTCTTGTTAATATTTTAAACAGCACCGTGTAAGGCTTTCTAGGCCTGTGAACGTATGCGCCCGTTTGAGCGCCTCTCATCAAGTGTGAGTGTTTATTCTCCGTCCTCATGACTATTTATACAAACAGCAGGTACTGGATATTTGTCTCTGAGGGAATGGATTTCTCTATTTTGGCCAAGCTTCTCCCGGCCCATTTAAAATTCAGGCATTTAGGTATTGCTTTTATCCGTAGCACCTCCTAATGAGTGAGTGGTGTCTGAGTGGCTCTGTGGATCTAACCTGTTATTTTCTGGACAGGCCTCTAGTGCAATTCGTTTTTTTCTTTTCCAGTTGTTTATTGTAAACTGCAGGGAGGAGCATGGGCACAGCTCTAAAAGAAAAAAAGTGAAATAAGGTGAGGAAAAGTTCTGCTGACGCACCTTTTACACGGCCGTGAAATACTTTGATGGTCAGATATGCATGGCCGCCTGAAGGGACAGAGCTGAAAGGAGCGTATTCTCCTCAGCAGAAGAGGAGCAGCAGCTCCTTTCCAAAGACATGCAAACAGACATGAGCGCAGCATTGATGCCCCAGTCGCATCCTTTAAATGTCATACGTTGGCCCGAATGGTTGCAGAGCTGGTTTAGGAGGTTTTGAAGATTCAGTACACAAGCTGTCAGTCATCACAAGCATCTGCTGGGTCCGATGGCAGTGCTGAGTTTGTTCTTATTTCCAAACAGGACAGCTGATTCTACTTGACATTGTCACAAGAGGGTTTTCCCTCGTCTTTCAGACCTAATTCTGCTTTCATTCTGTGTTGATTGGGGTAATATGCTCTGTTTGTGCGTCCATATTGAGCTGTAGCGTAGTGTGACGTTAATCCAGCTTTTTATTAATGAGCCAGGCTGGTGAGTTTTTTATTCCCGTGAGCTGGTTTACTTTTTGTCTGCCAGTTAGTAGGTTTGTTAAAATGATTTAACAGTAGGGCTTGGTGATATGGCCTAAAATTTATATCGCGATATAATTTGAAGCATGTGCGGTAATGATATATATCACGATATATTCTTTTCTTCTGTATAACGCATTTTCCACACTATAAGGCGCACTTAAAATCCTTTAATTTTCTCAAAAATCGAGAGTGTGCCTTATGTATGAATTCTGGTTGTGCTTACTGACCTTGAACCGATTTTGGCGTGCAGAAATCTGTTAAAAAAGGTTTTAGTACAACTTTGGTAAGCTGCACTGCTTGATGGATTGTCAGAGCATTACGGCTGAGGGGCTTCGCAGAGTAATCTGAGTCCAAAACTCCGTCGGCGTCAGGTCCCAAAGTCAAACAACACTAAGAGTTAAAAACGGTCTAAATTCTTTCATCTTTAATTAAGTCATCAGCGTTGCTGCTTTATCGGGTGTAACAATTAAGTTTTACATCCATGAAAACAGGATTTATTAAATTTAACAGAGTTAGAAGTTAACAGGAAGTTAGCTCGCTAGTTTACACCTAAACATTTCATACCATGTTCTGACTGAGAGATTTTTGAAACTAATTAAAACGTACAGCTCTGCTACCACTTCCAACATAAATGAAGACAGAAAACTAAACAGCAGTGGCGTTTGCAGGGTCACTGAAGTTGGACTACCTGGTATATAATGATTTAGATTTTTAACCGGAAACTCTTTTATCTACACGTCTATCCATGCCACAACCTTCCATGCAGTTAAAGTTGTGGTATGCCTACGTGACCCTGGACCAAGATCAATTATGATGATCCAGGAACAACACCAATGCAGGGCTATCAGACACACCCTAGTGACCACAGTATTTTCTGTGGGATGAGAGGGGGAAGTAATGAGACATACTCCTTTATTAAAGCATTGATTTTGACATAAACAGGAGGTAAATATAGGTGATGCTAATGCCATTAGCTAATGCTTCTGCTCTATTTAGGTCCCAGCCTCAAATAATGTGGCTGCTGTGATAAATGTCAAACAAAGTCCAAATATAGAGCAGGCTGAGCCGGATGGATGATTATCAAAATATCAAACTTTAACACAATTTTTCCACATCTAAAACATAGTCGACATAATATTTTTCATGGCCATCATTGTTCCCTGAGCTTCACCTTGTGTTTACTGTTATAACCAGTGATGAGAGGGGTTCTTCAACCTCTTAAAAGTAAGGGGAAAAAAAGAGGATAAAAGTGGACCTTTTATGCCACGCTGCAAAATTTCCATAAACGTTTGTGTGAGTTCTTCTGAAGGACATTGTTTAATTTAGTGAATTGTTGAAAGGTGCGTGTTGCCTGTTTAAAGTGAAGCTTCATCAGCTTTACACACCAAAGTCTGTTGACAGGTGTTTGCGGAATATGTGTGTGTGGCGTTTAAAGTCTTATGCATCTCCAAAGGGACTCAAGTCCCTCAACTCCTTTGAGTCAGCATCAGGTGGGGCTGCAGACTAAAAGAAACCTGAAAGTGAAAAAAAACCGTTGTGGGTGTTGAAATGAACTTACTATTCCTTGTGGTCTGGTCCTCCTCTCCACTTCAGGCTAGACCCTCAAGGCTGCATTAGCCATTACTAGCATAACAATTTCTGAAGTGAGCTGCCGAAGGTCAAATTGCATTGTGGAAAATGTGGGTGCCAGGTTGTGACAAGACAGAATTACATGTGGAATTAAAAAAAAGAGTATTTCTGGCTCTGCTCCATGAATTCTGATGATTTTTCTTTTTAAAAAGCCTTTATGAGTCTGGCAGTGGTAAAAGAAGGCAATGCTAAATCGGTGGAGGAAAACTGCATTGTGGAGATACAACCGAATAACACACAAATCTACATCTAATCGTTCAGTTAATAGGCCACGCCCCTTCAGTGGTTGGACAGAAACAAGAAAAAAAAAAGTCAAGAAATCGCTACCAGCCACTACCCTGCACTGTCTTTGTGAGCTCGCTGTTGGCCCTCGATGAGTGCATGCGTGTGCGCGCGCTCGCGCAGTTTTGTGTGTCGTGTATCTATCGTCTGTATAGTAGAGTGACCTTGATGTCTGTGCTCAGCAGGAAGACGCTAGAGAGGAGTGATTAACAAGAGAGAGACAAAAAGAGGAGAGAGAGAAGTGCAAAGAAAGATGAAAACGTAAAACACAAAGGGAGGAGAAAAAAAAGAACAGCAGGAGAACAGGGGGAGTGGGAAAGTTAAACACGCAAGTAAAAAAAAGATAGGAAAGAAAAACAGTCTTGGAAACAAGTGAGAGAGCGAGAGAGACAGAGCGAGGGAAACGAGTTGTGAAAGAATGAGAAGCCAAATGAACGGGGGGGCAAATTAGGGTGGGGTGGAGGAATGACTCACCGCACATCTACTCACTTTTTTCTCCTTCTTCTTCTTCTTCTTCTTCTTCTTCTCCCTGCAGGCAATCTGGAGGTGCAGTCATCAAGAACAGGTACGAAGGGGTGTGGGAGAGGGGTGGGGTGGTGAGGTTGAGTGGAGGGAGGGACAAAGGGAAGAATATCCCACTGCATGTTAATCAAACTCACACTTGTACAGGTGGGAAAATACTGTGCATACATTGTTCTTGCAGTGAGAATAAAGTGTTATATACTCTCTTACTGTACAGGATGTGTGTGTCTGTGTGTATGGGTGTGTGGTGTTAACAGTGAGTGGTCGCCAGCTTGTCTGCTGTGACCCAGGTTATTAGGACTGTGCATCTCCACTCCTACCTACACACACACACACACACACACACACACACACACACACACACACACACACACACACACACACACACACACAAAGACTGTAGCTGTCCATGACTGTTCACCCACTGCCCCTTTTGATGGTTTGGGTGTGTGCAAGCTTCACGTTGCTCCTTGTTCTACTTAAAGCCTTCCTCTTTTGACTCACACGCCACACTGGACCTCCTCTTGTCCTTCACCTTTAACCCCTCCTTATAACCTCCATCCTTGTTCTTCCCCTTTGCTCTGACTCAGTCTTGGAGAGGAGTTTTATAAGGAGGCCATCGAACACTGTCGCAGCTACAATGCCCGTCTGTGTGCAGAGCGCTCCATGCGGCTCCCTTTCCTGGACTCCCAGACCGGGGTGGCCCAGAGCAACTGCTACATCTGGATGGAGAAGAACCACCGTGGACCAGGTTTGTGTATGTGTGTGTGTTTTTTAGTGTTTTTACCCATCAGAGTGTTCTTCCTCTTCTTCTCCTATGTTGGTGTGTGTGTATGCCAGCTGTTGTGCTACACGAACTGTTCTCTCCAGTCGCTCATCACGCTTCTTCCTTCCTTCCATCCTCTGCTCTGCTTGTTTCTGTCTTTCCTTTTCATGCCTCCTACCTCTCACACCTCAACTTTTTTCCCCCAAAGGGTGTTTCCTCATTGCTTTTTCCTTCTCTGTAACATCAGTGTGTTTTGGCACTGAATCAGACAGCCCTGTAGGCGATGTTACGCCGCTGGCACCAGCTATTCCAGAGACAACACACTTATGTGCGTGTAGTTTTGTGTAATGCCTGATGCATTAACCATTTTGGTTTGTACAATTTCACTTTCAGATAAAACTTTATTTTCAGTGTAACCCAAATTAGAATTGAACTCACTTATTGAATTTTTAAAAGAACTTTTAATTTTTATTTCGTGTTTGTAGATTTAAAGTTGTTTTTCTTTGTTTAATTTCACTACTTTTTGTTACTGGCCAAATAACTTTGAACAAAATTGCCACATTTTCTAAAACCACCAAACAAAACTTCATTGTTCATTGGATATTTTACACACGCACATTAACCCAACACAGCACCATCACACTTTTCTTTGGAGTGGTTTCGTCACACTGAGATCCAATAACTACTATTATAGCATCCAATGGTGCACAGAGGACACAATATGATTTTTCCTGTAGTGTCACATACCCATACCAACATTTGTGGCCACATTAGCTGGCATCAGGGCTGTAGAGTGGTGAATGACAGTTAAATAAGCTACATTTTTGTAGTTTAGTGGTAGTTCAAGTAGTTAAAGACAACATGAAACACTAAACATATAAAGGCTAATTTACACCACTGAGCCCTCCTCAAAACTGATATACTGTAGATATAACTCCGTGAAGCTGGATTTAAAAAAACAAGTGCTTAAGGTTTTAAAAAAATGTTTAGCACCATCTTCTGACATCATGTGGTTGGTTGGTTGTGGTTAATAGCCTTACATTAAAGCAGTGTTTCCCAACCTTTTGGAGCCATGGCACATAGCACACAGCACACCACCAAACAAAAAATTTCACAAAAAACATATTGACAAAAAACATGCACCAGCTATAGCGGCTATAGTTTGTTCCCAATATACCATTTTTGCTTTCTTCTGACTACTACTCATGCTAGGACCTTCCTCTGGGTTGGACTTTTCTCCAGGACCCAGGTCAGATTGACTACTTTTGCTTTTCAAATATTTATCTATTGCTGTTACACCCTGCATTGTCGCATGACAATGTAATTTCTTCTTCATCTTCTTCTGTTTAATTGGCAGTTGGCAACCCGTTTAATTGGAGCAAGAAGTTGTACTGCCCTCTAGTGGAAGAGAATGTAGTAATTGTTTTGCCCGTTACGCTGGTCGCTTAGCGTACCAATCAGGTGAAACCATATATTCTTCCAAGGGACACCTGATCATTTCTCACGGCACTCCTATGCGCACAGTGGTTGGGAAACACTGAGCTAGCTAACATAAGCTAATATAAGTCTATTATCATCAACCAACCACATGACGTCACGTTCCGTACTGACAGAAGATGGCGCTAAACATGTTTTTAAAACTTTAAGCACCTATTTCTTAAATCCAGCTTCACAGACAGAGTTGCATCCATGCCGGTTTTTGAGAGCAGGGCTCCATGGTGTAAATTAGTGTTTCATGTCATCTTTAGAAACACACAAAACAGTCAAAAGTAATCTAACTACTGAAAGCACAACTTGGGTCATAAAAGAAAACAGGAGATTTTTTTATTTTCAGCTTTAATTTGACCATTTGCAAGTTTCCACTCTAAGTACATCACTTTCACTAGTTATGGCCTCTCCTGATTTTATCCTGTCCGCTCTGAAGACATGGCCAGGTTAGTTAGCTGAGGGTCTTTTGTAGTATTATATTTTTGTTATATCACATGTACATATATCGTTTTTTATAAGCACCCATTCACACCCAGTCACAGAAGCACTTTTTTAAATGTTTTTTTGCCCAAGTGCTTTCTGTCTCACATTCACACTCCGGTGAATGGATCAGAAAGCAACTTTGGTTCAGTATCTGTCTGTATACTATACTGGAGCAGCCAGGGATTGAACCATTAACCTTTGGATTACTAGATGACCTACTCCACCTCATGAGATGAGCTGCTCTAGCCCTCCTCAAAACAGTTTCAGAGCAGTTTCCCAAGAACACCAACTTTCGGATGAATTACTACGAGATCAGGTTGACACATAAATGCAGGGGTACTTTCACAGGGGTCACTGGTGGTCACAAGATGGTAACAGTAGGTAACACCAATGGCCAGTGGTCCCTCTAGAGTTTCCTCAACAAGGCCATTTGGGCTAAAGGCTCACAACACCCAGTAATGATAGTACCAGTGATGAATGTACTGAAGTACAGTTATGTTATATAATGTATTTGCTCTTTATTTATTTGTTATACTGTTTTCTCCTTCTACTTCACTATGTATTTGCAAGTTGCAACTCGTACAATTTATTTTAGGTCTTATTTTGCCGAATATAAAAATAAATCTTCCAATAAATGTATTATAGATAAAGTGACACAGCAGTATATAAGTAATTAGCTGTAATATAAATATTATATACACAGAATACACAGAACACTGCATAATTAATACTTTAAGTAAAACTTTTACACTGTTATTTAAGGATGAAGACTTTTACTTAAAGGGTGTAATGCCTATTTCACTACTATTTCAAGCAGAAGAATAAGAATAAATGTTTAGTTCTTATGCAATGCTACCTTTTCTGTAACACCATCTGTGTCGGGCCACTGCTCTGCACACGAGCTCTCGAGATAAACTAAAATAACAAACCTGAATAAATAACTGCGAAATGTTGTAAAATATAAAATGTGTTAGCGTTTAGCACCGCTGTGTGTACAGTCGCTCACAGTCTCTGGATGTGGGCTGTCTAGTTAATGATGTAAAACACCAAAATTAGTTACTTGGTAATTTATTCCAGCACATCAGACTTTGACATGCCAGAATTATGATTATTTAATAACCTACTTTCCTTCATGTACTAATTAATGTATCAATCATGCCAGTATGTGTGTTCCTCTGTATTTCAGGTCATGCTCCGGGCCAGTTGTACACATACCCCGCTCGCTGCTGGCGCAAGAAGAGACGGCTAAACATCTTGGAGGACCCGCGGCTTGTACCGATCGAGTTCAAGATAGGTGAGTAGGAAATGGGATGAACAGAAACACTTGAAAGAAACTGCAGAATATCTCAACTATGTTAGGTGTGGTAGACATTGCTTATAAATTCAGAGTCACACAGAATATCTCTTTTCTTTGAAAACTTTATGGATGTTATTGTATAACTAACTTCAGTGGAGTGATCATATTTGTAGAAAACTTTAACCTGATACTTAAGTAACTTTTCTTATTTTCTTATTTTACCAACATTTTACAGCAATTGGTTAATGCTTTGAGAAAATTTAAAAACAGCAATTTTCCACAAGTGTTATACAATCATATGACGCTAAAATGGCCATGATCATTTCAGCCTCTGTGCCGTGGAGATGCTAAAAGTCACTGCAGTTTCATGAACAAGCCAAATGTCGTGTCCTCGGGGCTCTGTCAGCTCGGCTGTGCACGCCAGCGTGAAGTCGTGCTCTCTGCTGCTTTCTGATTGTAATCGTCTCGTTCCACAGACTACGAGGCATCTTTAAAGAAGGAGGGGGGGATCCCAGACGGTCCCGTGCTGGAGTCGCTGCTTGCTGGGGAAACCCTGGACAAGAAGGTAGAAACCAAGGAAGAAGAGCCCATGAGCGAGTGTCAGGTGAGACGCTGCTTCCTCTTTCCTCGGTCGTTTCTCTCTCTGTAGTTCTTTGTTGCTCTCCACGTCTTGTTGTTTTCTTCTCATGTCAGGCTGTCTGTCTTTTTTTATCCATCTGTGTTTGCGTTTCTTTGTCTGTCTATGCCTTTTTGTGTGTGCGCGTCTCTCTCTCTCTCTCTTGGAGTGTGCGTTTTGGCGGTGACATGGGCTCCTGCGGCTCCTGACAGCGTGTGCGTGTTTCCCATCACTGCACTTGCGGCTTGTTGTTTTACGGGGATCCCGCTCAGTTGTTTCACAGACTTTGAAAATAGTTTTCTTTTTATCTTCTTTACATTAAAAGGAAACATAACTTATGTGCAAAAACTTAATGCTCATCTGTCTGGAGTATTTCACGAGCTTGAGACTGCCGCTGTTGAACTCTCACGGACAGCTAATCAATCAGCAGTTGAGTGAATAGCGCTCACAGTGGCCCTTTGAGAGCTGGAGTCGTGTTTAGGGCCTCTAATCCGGGGCTTCCCCCAACTCCTGCTCTTCAGCAAGCAGGCGTTATACCGTGTGTCCCATCAAACACTCAACTGTCAGCTTTTTACACTTTTCTTACTACAATATTTGAGCTCAGTGTCTGTGATATTCCACACATGAATATATTTGAACAAAGCTGGTGTCTTTGTTAAAATAGATGTTTAGTCCTACTAAAGCTCTTGCTAATAGAACGCTAAAAGCCTCTCATCCAAGAGGGGCACTCCACTGATTTTACGCATAGTCTTCAGTTTATTCATCACAACGGACTCTGCACAGCCTGTGAAGTTTCTAATGAATAGGCTGTAATGCATACTCAAGTGAACCTTTTTGGGGTATTTAGGACACAATGGAGTTCGGTAAAACAAGCTATCAAGTTTTAATATAGGAAGTGGAAGTATGTTTTTGTTGGCTGACCCAAAAGGAAGAGTATGTCTGACACTTCTGCCTGCCTTTACTCATTCTGTTATGCCCCCCTCATCCCATGATTTGCCCAGTTTTATTAGATTTTCATGATCTACCTGTTTAATTGAGAAAATTGTGATTCAAATGTTGTCATATTTTATTGCAGCAAAACGGTGAAAGTATTGGTTATGTTCAGTGTTAATAGTGCTTTCATGCTGGGATCATCCGAACAAGTTAAAAACAGCAGGAAAGTGCGCAATTTAATTTAAACATACGGGCTCATGCAGGGTAAAAGGAAAAATAAATGACTTAAGCGATAAAAGGAAAGGAAACTAACCTGTATGACAGTCCATCTCTCCCTTTCTGTTTCTATATCTCACCAACAGAAGCTGCTTGTTGGGGATTTCCCTCATGAGCTGGAGGCGGATGACATGGATGAAGATGTTCCGAAGCGCAAGAACCGTACCAAAGCACGAGTAAGGAAAAGGGACATTTCAGTCTTTTCCACAGTAAATTACTTACTTGTTAATGTGGAAGAGCAGAATCAGGAAAAAACAAATGACCTAGTCTGAGCTCAGAGTTATCAGCTCTGAATCTGTGTCCTGTCTGTAAGACATAAAGGCACGCAGTGCTGGAGACGTGACAGTGTATAAGGAATGATTACTGGAAACTTCACATAAATGTAAAATATAAGTTAGAAATCTTTTCGTGCTTTTTCTGTGTACCAGACTTTGAAGTGAAGTGTCATTACACAAAACTAGAAGTTATTGCAAATAAATGCAAACAGATACAGTGATTAAAATCATGCTGGGAAGACCTCTTTTATAAGATCTTTGATTAGATCAGACAGGTCTTTTTTCCCCCCACACTCTTTTTGGGGATCCTATGGGAAGATAATCAAGTGTTAGCAATGCATTCTGAAAGTCACCACACACAAACTCTCTCTCTCTCTCTCTCTCTCTCTCTCTCTCTCTCTCACTCTCTCTCTCTCTCACACACACACACACACACACACACACACACACACACACACACACACGCTTACACATACACCAGGGTTGCTAATTGGAACTGTTGCTCCCCTGCTAGGTGTCATCAGCCCCCTCCTGCTGGAAGTGGAGCTTTACACTGAGAGCAGATGATTAGAATGCAAACGTGTGTGTGTGTGTGTGTGTGTGTGTGTGTGTGTGTGTGTGTGTGTGTGTGTATTGTGAAACAGTGAGTGAGGAGTGTGCTGCTATGCTGTCTTTATTGTGTATGAGTGTACAAAACTTAGTACATAATAAGCGTGGAAGTTCAAACTTTTATGATTATATTACATGTATTTTTACAAGTGTGTGTGTGTCTGTGTGTGTGTGTGCTCTCTGCAGGCCTATGGTGTTGGGGGCATGAGAAAGAGACAAGAGCTGCCTGCCATTGAAGACAGAGACAAGCCTTATGTCTGTGACAGTGAGCGTCACATTTTCTATGGATTCATTTAAGTTTCTCCTTTCTCGTTTCTTCTTGCAAACGTAGATAAATCTAATATTATACACTGCGTGTGTGTTCCAGTCTGCGGGAAGCGCTATAAGAACCGCCCAGGGCTGAGTTACCACTACACTCACACACACCTGGCAGATGAGGAGGGTGAAGAAGACTCAGAGCGACACACGCTACCCTTCCAACGCAAGAACAACCACAAGCGTGAGTCTGCACTTATCTGTCTGTCCATTTGCAGGTTGTTGTGGAGAGTTTTCAGAATATTTGTATTCAAAACAGACTAAGTATAAAACATTTTCAGGGTCATACCAACCATCCTTCATAATCACAGCTGATTGCCTTGAAGTTACCCCAGTGGCATTAGGGATGGGTACAGTGCTGACAAAGCCAAGTCCAGTGTGCACTTGTGTGCATTTTATAATAAGATTTAAGCTGAGTTTTCAGCTCTCTCTTATTCACATTTTAGAACCTTTTTCAACCCCGGTCAAACAATGTGAGCTTCCTTAGTAGAAGAAAAAGGGGTTAAACGTGCATTATAGGACACACCACACCCTACAGTGGGACTGAAAGTTTGCACTAGTTTGAGTCTGATGGACGCAGATTGTCACACTTTTGTTCTCTGTTAACTTCAAGTCTACAGAACGTGGCACATGACACTTCAATATTAGCATGACTGCCCTGAGGCAAAGTTAGCCCTAGGGTAATTTTGCTCTTTTTCTTTTCTTGCAATGTTTAACCTTTCAGGGATTTGGCTGCTGTAGCCCTGAGCTAATGTCACTGTCAGACCTCATTCAAACTTCTACTATTACCACTGTATCAATACTGTATAGAAACTTTTCAGAAGTGACAAGATAGCTATTTCTGAATGTACAAATGCATCATTATAATGTAGCATACTTGCTATTCATAGGGCGGGTTGAGGGAACACCAAAACAAGCACATGATCATCAGTCATGTCAGTTGCAATGATGAATGTCTATTTGAAATAAAGCACAACCACAGTGTTTAATATAAGCAAAACAACAGATACATTTTTGTATATGTTGATTGTGTGCCTGTGATTTGTGCCTGCCCTGCTACCTGCTTTCAGAACGTGCACACACAGACCAGTCGCTGTGAGGTTCCTGCCACAAATCTGGGTTTGACAAACTTTAGCAGGAGCTGAAGTTGTTGCTTTTACATGTTTTATTTACTCCTGCAGCTTTGTAGGGTTTCCTGCAGCAGCAGGATCAATACGTGCACCTGAGACAATGTTCATTTTTCAACATAATTATTAATTATTTCCAACACATAGAAAGGATGGGTCATGACGTGTGAACTGTTGATGTCTTCGGTAAAGTTCAAAACATTGTTCATAAATTCTCAATCACTATTTGCAGTTGTGATTTTATGAATAACTGTGAGCCTGGGTGTTTACTGTGACTAATCTTAGCACAAAAAGTGAGGACATTTGTTTTCGGTCGATCCTTTTGTTGTTGTAACAATGCTTGTCTAATCGATGCAATGAATCTTATACTGTTGGAAAGCCTGTGTATTTCCCCTTACATGGTGCCGGATTTGAAAATTAATTTGCGGGTTGAGCAGCAGAGTTGCCAACTTGCCAGGTCTTCTCTGTCAACGTCAAACAGCTTCTGCTATTCACTAGCTGGGACCACATCCTCATTTTAGGTTTGACAGCATTTCTAGTAGTTAATGGCAGATGGCTTGAACATGAATTGAGGCTGTGGGTAGAGGAAGGCTTCAGTGGCGGTGGCTCCCAGGCTGGGTAGATCCGCATGTACTAATGAGTAGTGAATGAACTGAAAAAGAGGAGGGAGGGTGGCGTAATATATAGAGAACCGGAAGGGTATGAAGGTGTGGTCCCAATCCTGAAATTCAGATGAGTTATCTCCTATTGACTCTTGTTTTGAACTCCTGGTACCCAAGATGGTGACAATTAGGAGCCTGATTGCTGCCTGATAGTGGTCAGCTGGTGTCTGCTCCAAGCATGCCAAGTTTGACTGATCTGAATAGGGCCTGTGGCATAGAGCAACTTTAAGATGATGCTCTGTAAAACCAAGATGCAGCATTATTTGGAGCGAGCACTAGTTCCATATAACAGTTGATATCAGATATAGGCTGTCCCAAGAAGACTGTGTTTCCTCATCCTGTCCACATTTAGGAACCGCAGTCTTCTACAGATTTACAGTCAAGGTGTGGAGGATGATTTGGCCGACAGCTCTTTACCCAGACAATCCAGAACAGACTGAACATAGCCACAGAGAAGATTTGGCAACTTTTTCATTAGAGCAACTCACATACTCAACTCTGCTGCTCAACCCACAAATTGTCCTCACAAACATGGCACTATTTAAGTGGAAATAATAAGACTTTTCAACAGTGTAAGATTTATTGGGAAGAATGGGACCAGATGGTAATAATGACAGCACATTTAACACATTTATTGTGAGATCAAGACAAATTAGATATGTTATCACATAGAGACTGTTTTGTGTGTTTCTGACAACATTAAAAAAAGAACTTTACACTTGTGATAGACTTACACCATGCCATCTCTCTTTATGATTTCAAGAGTTAAAGGTGCAATTCATCTAATTAAATTCACCAACTAAAAATTAGTACTTAGTCAAAAAAGGTCTAAGTCATGCATCCATTTCTAAGGGGCATTGGGAGATCTGACCAGGATACTGAAAGTTAGAGAAATGAAATTACCCAGACTGTAAAGGTTCTTCTACCCAACCATCATCTATTTTACTTAATTGTATACCTCAGCCTTTGCTGTGAATGCATATCAGTTGTTAATGAGCTTTTAACTGGCGCTGATCAATTTTGAAGAAGTGCTAGTTTACAAGTCATACTACAGTAAGGAACATTTCCATCACACTCTTTAGACATCAACTTCTAGTGTATGTACATTTTTTTACAGGATGCAATATGGCTGCAGCTATCAAGGGCCTAATGAGAATCTCTTAATGCAGTGGTCCATAATATCATGAGGTAGTAATGATGATAGCGCTCGCTAATGCCTTCAGCTCTTCTTGAAGAGAATGTCGACAGCTATGCTGGGTTACAGATGAAATGTTTTTTCAGACTGACTAAAGTATCTAAACCATTAACTAGCGTTTTGTGACATTCATTAGCTCCAAAATATGAACTCTAGTGTATATAGTGATTTTTTTCCCAATCTCACAACATTCATATTTGTAGTTCTGACTGAACAAAAAGGAAGTAATAACAATAAAAACAAAATGAAAAAATATGGGTAGCTGCACTGGCATCTTCCAAATTATTCTTTTTAACATTAGTATTCAAAATTTTGCAATGGATGTATGCATTCCCATTCTCTGTTTGTATGGTGTGTGTATAGTACCACAAACATTTAAGGTGGTGCGCTTAACAAACATTACACCCGCATTAGCAGCGCCTTTCCATAATGATGTTACAATTAAGCTTAAAGCACAAGTGTGGCCAAATGCTGTTAAAATGTCAGGGTTTAAGAAAGGAAATATAAAGTGACTAAACCCGCGTAAACACAACACAGTTAAAAGAACTTGAAATGCAAATATTTAATTCATTTTAGTTCAATTAATTTTTATTTGCATAGGAAACAAATAGAAACACCCTACAATAATACAACCCCCCCCCCCAACAATCAGAGAACTCCCTGTGAGCAAGCACTTGGCACCAGTGGGAAGGAAAAACTCCCCTTTTAACAGGAAGGAACGTCCAGCAGAACTGAGCTCAGAGAGCAGCAGCCGTCTGCCATGACCAGTTGGGGCTTGAATATGGGAGATATGTAGTCTTGCTTGCTTGTGGCAGTTTATAACCGTGCTGCAGCGTTTTGGACTAACTGCAGTCGGCTAAGCACTGACAAATTGACACCTGAATAATGATTATTATAATAGCGAAGCTGGATCGCTCTCTTAACGTCTCCGAATCAGAGAAATTGCTTCACTTTTGCTAGTATCATAGATGGAAGAATCTAGTTTTAATGACTGTGTTAATCTATTTGTCACAAGTTAGATTATTGTTAAAAATCAATTCCAGGTTCCTCGCAAATGGTTTTTATAATTCCTTATAGGGACAATGTTGTAAAGGTTAAAACACAATGACCTCTGTTTCCTGTATGAGTATGAAAAAGGACTGGGCCAAGAATGGACCCCTGGGGGACCCCATATAAGCACAGGGTTATTGAGGAAGATGTAACCCCTACCCACATAGCAAGCTGGTCTAGCCTAGATCTGGTATCAAGTCGGCACTGCTGGCTGTCTTCTGGTGTGGTAAGTGGTATGTCATCCAGATATGGGCCAGGCCCGGTATAGATGGCACTGTCTATGTGATGGCATGGCATATCTGGCCCGATTGTGGTTTGGTTTATGTGGCCCAGGCTAATAGAAAACAGGTCTGGCCCAGATCTGGCATCAAGCTGGCACTTCTGACTAACTGGTGTCATGACAGAGTGTATGTCAACCAGATGTTGGCCAGGTCTGGCAATGATGGCACTATTTATGTTCCTATTTTCCTATTTTAGTTAGAAGACCCAAGTGCCATGTTGCAATACTATACTGCTATGGTAGCCAACGGTTCAAATGCAGGTTTGACAGGTTTGTGAGTGTACACTTTATCCACTACCTAGTGACGGTTTACTCATCTTTGCCAGTGGGTGGCTGTAGCTCAGGAGGTACAGCAGGTCACCTACTAATTGGAAGGTTAGTGGTTCGATCCCTGGCTCCTCTAGTCTGCATGTCAAGAGTGAGAATGTGTGTGCCTGTAGTTAAGAAGCGCTCAATTTCGAGGAAGTGTATGAATGTGGCATGTTGTATAGAGCACTTTGAGTAATCTGGAAGAGTAGAAAAGCACTATATAAGAATCAGTCCATACAGAGTTTCGTCATATTACTTTTGCACTATTATGTTCCGGCGGATGTTGTTATTACATGGCTTGATTAAGGTACACATTAGGCTGACATCTGGGGCCAGAGCTGAAACTGTTCTGGGCCAGCACAGGGCCAACAGTGTGTCTGCAACTGGCCTTGTGCTGGCCCATGTGTGGGCCACATCTGGCAAAACAGATCTGGGCCACCAAAGGGCCGTCATTCTTTGTGGTATGTGGGCCATGTGTAAGCACATTGTGTGGGCCAGATCTGGGCCATACCAATTTTGCTATCTGGGTAGTCTAACTGTAAAACCTTTGTTGGTTAAATA